TAACCAGTTCGCGAGGCTGCCCTATCATGTCACGCATAATCTCGGGGTGGACCGTCGTGCCGGTTGGTGACCGGGGCGTGGGGTCCCGGCGGCCACTCCCGAGGGGGTGCGGGGGCCCTCCCGTCCGGTGGGTCGGCGTATCTCTTTCTTAGGCAGCTACTCGGGAAAACGTGCTTCCACATATTTGCCTGACTTTGTCGCGACTAACTCCACTCGATTCACGTCTCTCAATTTTTTCGCATGATGGCAGCCCGTAAAACGAAATTTGGTTGTACAGCAGTGCACACCCCCACGCCTTCCACGCTGTTTGAGGTTGAGTTCTGTAATATACGCGGACTCCACTCTAACCTCAATGCTGTCCACCACCATCTTGAGACAGCACGGCCAGCATTATTGTTTCTCACGGAGACACAAATACTTCCGCCCGCTGACACAGGCTACCTTAATTGTCCCGGCTACGTGCTTGAAGAATCCTTCAAAGCAAGAGCCGACGTATGCCTGTATGTCCGGGCGGATGTTTGCTGTCGCCGTTTGAGCTGCCTGATAGACCCCTCCTTCTCCATGTTGGCGGTACATGTAGACTCTGGCCCTTTGGCCAGAGTCTACGTGTGCCTCTACAGATCCCACACCGGCGATGCTGAGACAACTCGACTGTTTGACCACCTTAGTAGGGCAGCAGATGATGCCCAGGCGCAATTTCCTAACGCAAATCTGGTGTTTTTGGGGGACTTTAACGCCCACCATGCTTTGTAGCTGGGCTCCTCCAAAACTGACCATGCAGGGATCTCTGCCCATGCATCCGCTCTCACGCATGATTTGTCACAACTGGTTGATCAGCCCACCAGGATCCCAGATATAGCAAGTCAAGCGCCTTCTTTGCTAGACCTTCTGCTTACGACTCATCCGCAGGAGTATCAGGTTGTGGTTCGAGCCCCACAGCGCTGCTTCAGTGAAAAGGACTTATCGACCAGCGCCATTGCTATTACTGAGGACATCTTAATGGGAATGGAGTATTACATTCCACATTCTGATCTCATCAGTAAGGGCACACGTAACCGCTGGTTCAATCGCGACTGTGCTGATGCTGTTTCTCGTAAGCAGGCGGCATATCGCGCTTGGACCAGAGGCCGCGCTCTTAAAGGTTGACTCACTGAATGCTGCCTATAATAATGCTTCCAAGTCTTGCAAAAAGGCTTACATCAGAGCGGATGCCCAACGTGTAGCACGTACTGGCCACGAATTGTTAACGCACCCTACGGGCTTCCGTAGTTTTTGGCGTTTGGCTAAGGCAGTGCAGCACAACTTCTGCCAGCCCTCGCTGCCACCTCTGCGATGTCCAGATGGGTCACTAGCTCATGAGCCGCAAGAGAAAGCTGATTTGTTGGCAAAACTCTTTGCGGCTAACTCCCGAATCAGTGATTGCAATGTACTGCCACCTACACTTCCTCATTGTGGCACTACGATGTGCTGTGTGATGTGTGGGTACCAGCAACTTGGTTGAGTTCAATGCCAAGAAAACTCAGGCCTGCGCTTTCACGGCAAAAACATCGCCATTCCTTCCCCTTCCCTCTCTTCAGGGCACAACACTGGCGCTACAGAGCAACGTTACCATGCTCGGTATGGAAATTCGCTCAGACCTGAATCCAAAGGACTACATCGAAACCGTGATCAAAACAGCTTCACGCAAACTCGGAGTCCTGAACAAGGTGCGGCGTTTTTTCACGCCCGATCAACTGTGCTTGTTGTACAAAACGCAAGTGCGGTCCTGCGTGGAATATTGCTCGCACCTCTGGGATGGCTCCGCTAAGTACTTACTCGATGCCTTGGAGAGGTTGCAGCGGCGCGCTGTCCGTATCATTGGCGATGAAGAGGTAACCAAGAAACTCGAGTCTCTACAATTACGCCGCGATGTGGCATCATTAAGCGCATTTTATCGTCTATACCACGGCGAGTGTTCTGAGGAGTTATTCTCCCTTATCCCTTCATCACCTTTTCTTCAGAGGACCACGCGCGCTGGCCTTCGTTGCCACCGACTTACTGTGGCCACTATTCCTACACGAACAAAGAAATTTGGTGACTCATTTCTTTGTCGTACTATTCGTAAGTGGAATTCTTTACCCGCGCAAGTGTTACCTCCTTCCTATAACCTGGGGTCCTATAAGAGAGGCGTGAAGAAGCATTTTTGCAGGCCGGCAAGGTGATGATGATTGGTATAGCAGTTTATAACTGCTGTACCAGCTATCTTCGCGTTTGGACTTTATTACCACTTAACATCAGGTGGGGTAGAGTCATTTGCCTACTTTAATATATAAAAAAAAAGAAGTATGGGTATACAACATGCATATTAACTAGCTTACAAATAAATTTTCGCAGAGAAGTAAACAGATTTATTAGGAAAAAATTGAAATACCTACAGCATCTTTTGTTTTAATGGAACAAGTAAAACGGATGGTCGTTTTATCCGATGAATACCAATATGAACTATATCGATATGCATCTGTTATAAGTCGTTTTAAGCCATAGTTCGCTATATCCGATGTTATTATAGGCGGTTTCTTTACTTAAAGGTTTGTATAGGGATTCAGCCGGGACCTTGCCAATTGGGCGTAATAACCGACCCGTCGTTATATACGATGTCGTTATATTCGGTTTTGACTGTATTTGAATAGTAAAAAAAAAGTCACCTTTAGCGACTGTGTATGAGATTTTCACCATCAGTTGGTTACAGTTTCATGTAAGATTTATATAAGTTACAAGTGTTTCTTAAACACACAACGTGGTAGAAGAAAAAGCGCGCAAACTCCCCGGAAAACGCAAATATACATATAAAGGCACGTATCTGTATGTCTTCAGTAAAATTAAATATTTCTTTCACCCATCAATAAGGATGAATGCTACAATGTCCTTGGTCCATGAAGTATCTCCGTGACAGCTGTCCTAGGGTTGCCACCTTTTTTTGTCCAAATAAAGTACATTGGATATTAAAAGTAGAAAAAAAAGTACATTGTGTCCAAAATAAAGTACTTTTTATTCTTCTTTATTAATAAGCTTAAAAATATATTTAACCTTGCTCCTAGCAACTTTTAATAAATAATGTGTGGCTACTAAAAATCTGTAGTTCTTTTCCGCAATGGGAAAGGTCATATTACAAGGCCATACAGCCACGAAAATGTTGCAGGAATTAGCTAAGGGCAACGATATTACCCTAGATACACCAACACGAACAAAATCGTGCCCGAAACCTGACCAAAAGGTAGATTGGACGATCCACGGAGCTCCGTAAGATGATCGCGTAGTCAAAAATTATATAAGGCATTGTTTAAACATTTAAAGTCACCTTTAATGCATGAAGTATAAAGTCTTAATAATAATAATATAGTCATAACTCTCTGCATGCGTTTTAGCCTGTGTCTGAGAGTTATGACAGTTCGAAATGCAAGTTCGTAAAATTTACTACGTATTGGTATATGCGGAAGAATATAGACCTTTTTTGTACACGCAATTCTAAATGCGCTGTTAGCAATATAGTAGGTACGGACCTCGAGGCAAAGAGATGGCTGTATTACCGACCATGCATTTGAATATCACAAATATTTTCCATGAAATCAGTTTTTGATAAGTATTACAACAAAATTTTCTTCAAATGCGTTAAATCGACAAACATTAATTAGATACCTGACGAAAAAACGAGACTTTACATACTATAAGTATTTTTAACGGGCGGCGCGAGACTGTGAACCAAGAAGTGCTTGAGTCGTGTTCAAGCACTTCTTACTTGGGACACATTTTGAGCGGACGTGGTGTATCTAGGGTATTTAATGTCGTTTGGTAAGGGCGACATATTCAGACTGGCTGTCCGTTTTACGCAAAAATTCTTCCTATCAACCTCTTTTTGTATATTTTATGTAAAATTAATCCCCGAGTAATCAAATCACATTAAATAAAGTATTTTCGCGTACATAAAGTACGCGTTGGCATAAAGTATAGAGTACAATTACCCGAAATAACGTACAATACTTTATAATAAAGTACGGGTGGCAACCCTAGCTGTCACAGTCAGTTCATAGCGTTTGCTAACATTACCGGTAAAACATGCGAAAGTTTTCAAGGAAAACGGAAAACTCTGTATTCTTGTGTAATAATAAAATTGTATTATTACATAAGAAAAGAGTTCTCCGTGTTCGTGAAAGTCTCCAACAAATTTTCAACGTGGTATCAAAAAGTTTCGAGTACCAAGTTGGTAAGTTTTATAATACCAATGTTCGTGATTGTTATTATGCTCATTCAAGGAGATTAATTCAATACTTTCTTTGAGCGGAATCAAAGCAAACTGGATCGCACACAGTGCCAGGAAGTACGAACAGCTGCTTCGGATGAAGAGTGGGTATCTCTTAAGGGCGCAATAGATGTAACGCTTCTTCATCTTCGGAGGGCGAACGACTTTTTGCTTTATAAAGTTGGTAAAATGCTGTTTACGTAATGATCTCACTTTAAGTAGTAAGGGTAGTACGTTAGATTTTTTTTTATTTACTTGAAAGCAAAGGCTAAGCCCACAATGAAAAATGTTTACATGTCTTTTTTTTGTGTCATTAGTGACAGGCAGTGTTTCTGTTTAGACAGGCCCTGCCAGAATAACAGCGCTGGTGCAACACAATGTCGCATTAGCTAATGCTGGGGCAGAGCCCTGACATTTTTGAATTTATATCTGTAAATGAGGGTTAATAAAATATATTCTATTCGATAGATACTACTTATAGTTAGGCTGCGTTTCCACCAAAGATATGCTAGGAAGATGAACGGAGCGAGATTGAGTTGCGAAGATGTGAAATTGTTGGATGTTGTCACCAGAGATGTGCTAAGAATGTGTGTAGAGAAGCTGTGGAACGGTGCGAAATTTATGAAAATTACAAGAAATATGCCGGTGGCGGCGTTTTGTGGTTGTGACGTCTGCGGCGACACAGAGTTGTCGATATCATTCGGTGAGGTAAATGTGTACTCACTATTGCGAACTCTTCCTCTTGCGAGGGTCGTTGATGGTCGGATAGAGAGGCGGCTGCGCGGCCTGGAGCGCGCGGCCTGCCTCCGCGCACGCGCCGCCGCCGAGCATACCGCCGGCGCCCCCGTTCGCCGTCAGCTCATACGCCGGCGCCGCGCTCGCGTTCGGCCAATAGAAACAACGACACGTTACGCACATACATTATGATAATTTACTTAAACTAAATAACAATGCAATGAGACACAAAAATATGTTCCTTCCTTCAGCAAGCAAACCGCAGGGCCGGGTCATCATCAGCCTATTAATGTCCCCACTGCTGGGGCACAGGCTTCCCTATGGATGGAATAGGGAGATTGGGCCATGACCCACCACGCGGGCCCAGTGCGGGTTGGTGGGTGCTAACGACTGCAGATGCAGCCGGGACCAACGGCTTAACGTGCATTCCGAAACACGGAGGAGCTCGAGATAGTAAATTATGGTCACCCATCCAATGACCGACCACTGCGAAAGTTGCTTAAATTCAACGATCGCTGCGGAACGCGCTAACCACTTGCGCCATCGAGCTCCTCAATAAAGAGGGCCGGGTAGTAGAGTAAGATTCCAAGACCGCCAGACCTTACTTATTTTCTGATGGACGTAATATGAATAATCGAGTAGTATTAGTGTGTACAATTAACGTATACATACTCGCTAACTTGTGCTGTGGGCCAATTTTCAGGTATCAGGTACAATTTTCACACAGCCACGTACAATTTTACTCTCTTTACTTACAGTCTGAGAACCGGTGCTTACGTATGTTGTAGAGAATATGGAAAACAATTTGAAATTTATACTAACAGACACATTCTGTCAGTAGTATATAAATACTGTTCTGGCAATAATGCCAGACACTTAAAATGTCGAAAGCGAAAACACAAACTTAATTACAGTCTGAGACCTAATATCAATCTTAGATATTTAGGGGGCAATTATTATATTTTTTAAACTGCCAGACAAATCTTAGGGGCCGCAACTCATGGTAATTAAGTGCCTTTTTAGTACAGCTTCATTAAAGTTATCTTATAAATAATGTACAGGAAGCCTTATACAATAATTAAATAATTTCTTATTTTATAATTATCAAAATTATTGCAGAAAATAAGTAGGATTTAGTTTTTGCTTTCGAAATTAAAAGTGTCTAAAAATAAAAATTGCTGACAGAATGTGTCCGGCAGTATTAATTTCAAATTGTTTACAATATTCTCTGCAACATAGTTAGAAAGTATGTTTACTTTTATTTTACATACTAATACTACTCAATCATCCATATTTTGTCCAAGAGATAATAAATAAGATCTGGCGGCCTTTGGATATTGTACAATAGGCTTTATTTTTCGAAATCCACGCGAACGAAGTCGCGGACTCAGCTAGTATTTCATATCAGCTTTTTATTGCACTCTTCTCTAGCCCCCCCCCCCTCCTTTACACCAAGGTATATTACATGTTTTAACAAATTTTATACAATGTCTTCAATTTTGTTCACACTTATATACATGTATTAAACATGTAGTACGCAATATTTGCATCAAACTTGTTGGATAAACAAAATATGTGAAGTGAATAGTGATTTATACTTCTAAAGATACTAGTTGTCTATGCCAGTGTAAACGAAACAATGTTTTAAATAGCCACAACAAGTCTACAAGTTTTCTGTAAAACTAGTATATGACTTTTTATTTGGTGTAAACTTAACTAACCCCCGGTTAGAGCGTGCGCTAGCTACGTTAAGTGGGAACGGCGACGGGAGACCCGCCTCATGCAGCGCTGCTCTATTAGGCGCTTTGCAGACGATGGGACGGGGCGAGCTTTTCGTCCGCGAAGCAATAAAAACCGCGTCTGCCCGTCGATGTCTGCGGCTGCCCTCGCCGCGTACACAAAGCACACGACGGGCAGAGGCAGTCAGTTCAGGACGTTCGTTCTAGTAAATAGTCTATCACTAAAAAGCGCGTGACGCGGACTGAGCTAGCCGCTCCGCGCCGCCGTCTGCGTTACTGCATATAAACTGATTTGTATGACCCACGGCGGGCAGCCGCGGACATGCCGCGCCGCCAGTGCCCGGCGGGCCCTATGTGTGCGTTTGTAGTGTAGGATTCACTTTGTGCTATCGTTCGCGGCGAAATTGACCGGCCCGCTCCGCCCCGCCGTCTGCAAAGCGCCTTAAATTACATAAAACTGCACGCAGAGCGGACGTCCGCTCCGTACTCCCGCTTACCGCAGCGCAGTCCCTTAGTCCATATAAACATTTAAGAAAATTCCACACTCCCACACTCCCCCATGAGCAAAATGAGCATAATTGATATACCTATGACGGTATGAAATTACACATCACGTATTAAAATAATCACTGTCAACTCGACGAAGTTGAATTTAATTGAAGTACTACCTTAGTAAACTACTACACAATACCTATAATAACAGTTATTTTATTCCTATTTTTAGATGTCTAGTAATTAAATTTAAAAAAAAGCTAGAGTACATTATTATAAGCCTTCCTAATTTGGATCAACTTCGTTAACCGCTTAAATATGTTTGTTATTAATTAATTACTTGTTTTCTAATAGTAATTACATTAACTTTATCGAATCCTAAATACGGTTTCCGTTTGTTCTGCGAAGTATGCGTAATTAGAAATGCTTGATTCGCTGTATTAGTCAGGAGACTCACCCGACCTCTTGCGATAAACACCGATAAACACGTGAAGTAGTGTTTTCATAACAACATTACTGAGACGCACTCAAATATGGTATAGGAACTGTATGATTTCGCGTTCGATTCGTAACCTAGCCTAGTATTAGGATACAAACTTCGAGGAAGCGATCGAGATACAGATTTTAACGTAGTACCTAGTAGAATAAGATACATGCAAGTTTGTTTTTATAAAAAAAAGAAACGAAAGTGTTCGGAAAATATTAAAATGCAATTCTTTCAAACACTGCGCGGACAGTCGGCAACTGTTGCCGCGACCACACCTGCACTCCCGGCGTGCAATGGGGAATACTGCGGTCCTCAGCTTGTACGCCGGGCGACCGGTGCAGAAGTATTGTCTGGTATTTAGTGGCCCTGTTCAGGGCCTTAGATAGGGCTCTACTCATTTCACCCGGCCCAAGGGCTGGCTGTAATGAGTAGGGAGGAGTCCCACATACCTTCATCTCGCTCCCTGGTGGTTGAAGGATGCGTAAGGCATTTTACAGACAAAAAAATATCTTTCAAACACTACATAAAGGTTGTAGAGTAATTTTAAAGAAACCCAAAGTTGTTCTTCATTATATCAAATATTTAGGCTGGAGTAGACGTCCTGGTACAACAGTTTTTTAGGGATTTCGGAAAACTTTTTGAATTTGAATTAGGCTTGTTGAAAATATATCGATGTATCGATATATCGATATTTTTAGCTGATATATTTTGGTTCGATATATCAATACATCGATACAAAATAACCAATATCGATATTCGTATCAAAAACGATATTTTTTAATTATTAGCGGCATTTCACGATCTAACTAAATTCGTATCTGGAAATATCGTAACTGGATCTCATTCGTATCATCTGTTTCGCTGGTGAATTGGTTGTGCTGAATTCCATTATATTCTGTGGAAGTGTGTGACTATCTAGTCTTGTTTACTAAAGATGGCACCTGAGAGGCCCTGCAATTATTTTCACTATTCGAAAATAGGGTCTATTTTTAAGGAGATAATTTTCGTTCCATTATTATTCCGCGTGTCATTTTTCTTGAGATACTGTACTGTCATGTAGTGTATCAGCAACTTGGTACTTTAATAATTCTTTCTTTAATTATAATTTATATTGTTATTATTATTGTGCTAGGCTAACCTAAATATATTTTTGGGAAAACTGGTCCGATATATCGAGGCCGATTTTGATATTTTTTTAATTATCGATGTATCGATATATCGATATTTTTTTAAACTTTCGGCATCTCTAATTTGAATACAATATACACAGCAGCCTCATCAAACTTTCGGCAGATTTCACTTTAAAAAAAGGACGAATCAAATCTGGTGTACTAGATTTGCTTATATCAATGAGTTTAAGCACTTTATGAAATGAAATGAATAGTTATTTATTATACAAGAGTGGAAAGTTCCTTTTTAACCGCGTGCTCGATTTGGATGACCGAGCAAGCGAAGGATTCTAAAGTTGAATCACGAGCGCAGCGAGTGATTCTAAATTAGAATCCTGAGCGTCAGCGAGGGAAACAAACGAGCACAAGGTGAAAAATCTTTCCACTCGAGTGCAATACGAAACTTTTCATCCCACCTCAGCGAGGAAATGACAAAATGAAAAAGAAAACAATTTATAATGACAAAATATTTAAGCAATAAAACGTGAAAAACTAGAATGGCGCGAAGCACGCAAATAAAACAAAGAAACCAAGAAGGTTCCAAATTTAAATTTTTTCACAATTTAAAAAGTTCTAATCATAAATTTGGCACCATAGAGGTTACATTAAATAGGTTTAATGACGTTTTGAATTTACAATTATATTGAGTACTCATTATATGTGATGTTCTAAATTCAAATCTACTTTGCCGCTCAAGCGAATAAAATAGAATTTTCCAGCCAGATTTCGAAGCGCAAAATTACACTTTCCGAGGTGGTGGGATGAAAAAGTCATTTATTCAGTCTAGGCCTTTACAAGCACTTGTGAAGGTCAGAAGCTACGCCATCGCTTCAGAAAATTTAATTGGATTAACTTCCACATTACCTACTCACGCTGTTATGGTTGTTGTTAGAGTTGGTGTTTATTGTGTTCGACCCGATTGGTTGGAATTAGGTGTCGAAAATTCACAGATCTCGTGCTCTACACGACTTGAAAGGGCATTGAAAATAAATCTACCTATAATAGATTTTTTTCCCAAAACCAAAAATTTTCTTTCAAAACCAAACTTTCCCAAAATATTTTACATAATCTTAAAGCCCTTCGAATTCCGCGTCTTTTGAGCTCTCATACGTCCGCACGCACGCGAGCCGCCCGCCGTTTGACATCGTACCTCGTGTCGTGCAAAATTCGCGGCTAAGGGCACCTCTACAGCCTCACCCGTCAACAATATCGATAAAAAGTGTAATAATAATAGTGTAAAGTGTAATAAAAAATGTAAATGACCTAAAATCTTCCTTGATTC